TTCTCATTTAATACTGGAAAACAAGTTTCAACTTTTACAGCATTCATGAAGAATTTAATATAAAAGCAATCTTGACATGGGACACCACCTAAGAACCTGACTGAGACTGGGTGGATGGGTATGCCTAGATCTAGATTATATAGATGTTGTAGATTATTTTTTACTGGTAGAAGTATATCAATGTGTACAAGATAGAAGACAGAGGACCCTACAATATGGTTTGGGAAGGGATGGGAGTCCATGAGGGGCAAGCTGTGCATGGAAAAAATGGTGCTAAGAGCATAAATGGACACTTTTGAAATGTGATGGTGTTTTTCAAACAGCTTTCATTGCAGTGTACATTCTACATGTTATAAGAACAGAGTGCACAAAAGGGAATAGATGATGGACTAGTGTCTAAAAATTTAAGTGCTGATCAGGGTGAAGACTAGGGAGATGGGTTGAGTGGGTAGTGGGTGGCATCATTTGGGTTCCATGTCATGCAGAGCTTAGAGGGTGGCTTTGAAGAAAAGTGAGTAAGATAGCATGCTGAATCTACCCATAACTGAACAGTGGTGGGCTGGAGGTCTAGATTCCAGAACATTGTTCTGCCACACTGTTCAGTGGTGAATTGCCTCTCCCCCAAATTCTGGAGGATCCCCACTTTTGCTTGGGAAATCAGCAAAAATTTCCTTCCTGCCTCTTCTGTTGGTAGGAACAAAATCTAGATCCAACCCAGTATGCTGATCCCAAATATGTTGGTGTAATTGGTTTATATAGAAACTACAAGTGTTTTTTTTAACCATCATCCCTCTGAAAGTTAATGCAAAGTTAATCCACTTGGTGTTCTTTACTGGTCTTTTAGAGGTCTATTCAAAACCATTCTTTCCTTTTCCCATGTAATCTAAGCTTTCCAAATATCATTTAGCATTCCTATTGCATGCTCTGAACACTTACCATACATATATACACTATCTTCAGTTAAGGCATCACCACTATTATGTTCCAGTTGATCTAAATATCCAAAATATATGTGCATGTATTTAAAGATAATCTTTTAAGACTTGGTTCAAGCTGCAAAACCTTTTGAGCTGGCATTGTTCTAATGTCAACGACATTGCAGCTTGTTTTCATACCCACTACTCTGCATGTTGTGTGAGGTATAGCATCATGTAGTTAAAGAGGGGAAACAGAAACAAAGCTAAGAATTGGGTTGCAGATGCTGAAGAGTTAAAGCTGTAATAATGTGCCTCATCCATGGATGCAACTGAAATCAAATGCACTATGATCCATAGGATGAAAAGCTATACCATGACTTGTGGCAACACTGTAATTCCTAATGGGAGAGCATGATACCTTTTCACAAGATAGACATAGCATCTTAATCTGTGAAAGAAAAATTGATCAATGAAATTTACTCCCATTGAGGTGATAACCTATTGAAAAACAGTAATCAGCTGCAAGATTTTTTTCACTTTGGGACTTTTTGCCAAAACAATTTATATGGGGGGGACGACATTGTCAGGTGCAAAAAAATAAATAGTTTCCTGCACAAAAGAAATGTTTTGTGCATATAAATTTTTCATGAAAGAGTCTTAAAATGTGGGAAATAATGAACATGTACAAAAAGTCTCATAAACTCACCCAGTGATGAGAAAACTTGTGAAATACTTTGTTCTTGCTTGTGATAACAGAATAAATGAAAGTTACATCACTGTAATGCTGTACACATTTAGTATAACTAACGGCCTCTGCAGACAGGCTCTTTGCGGCATCCTCGAGGCAGGGATGGGAAGGGGCAGCTGCATGCCAGCCACCGCAACCCCTCCCTGAGGATATCTTGATGCCACGCGCCATTATGCATGGCGTGTGGCATCAAAACGTCCTCCCAGCACAGCGTCTTGACACACGTGGTGGCTCTTGGGGCATCCTTTTTGCCGGCTCTGAAAGGAGTGGCATTTTGCTGCTCTTTTCTGGGCTGGCAAAACAGAGGATTGGGGCCGAGGCATGGGGCAGCCTTGGCCCCAATCCTCTGCTTCCAAGGGCAGCCCAGGGATGCCTGTCTGCATCCCTCCTAAGTCCCATTTAACTCAGTGAGGTCCTAAACACACGGTATAAATAATCTGATTTGAGACCATTTTAACTGCCCTGGCTCAGTGCTAGGGTATCCTGGGAATTGTAATTGCTTGTGGCCCCAGAGCTCTCTGATAGAGAAGGTTAAATGTCTCACAGAATTACAGTTCTCTGAATTGTCTAGCATTGAGCCAAAACCGTAAAAGTGGTTTCAAACTGGATTATTTCTGCAGTACAGCTGCAGTTGCAGATGTCTGAATAGCTATGCATAGTATTTTTCCTGTTAATGACATATGATTCTCTCTCCCTTTCTACAAATGGTACTTTGATGAATTTATGTTGATTTTTATCCCATTGTACTCTGTGCAAACTCTTACTCACTTTGACTTCTTTCCTCCTTCTCTCTTTATATCTCCTTTTCTTGCCTCATCCTTTACAAAGAAACAGAAAATCTTTGAAATTTTCTCCCTGAAATTTCCTCCCCTTTCTTTTAGTAGATGCCTCCTCTGCCTTTCTGAAAACACATGTCCTGTGATGCTGTTGATGCTGCTATGGCACTCTTAAGATTCTGCTTGGCTTAACCTTCTTGGGCTTTAAAGTTAACATCAGACAAAACATGTTCAGAAATATTACCAAGCATAAACTGTTGCTTGTGTATGTATGTTTCCCAAACTGTACTGAGCAGGAAGTGGCTGACTTTGCAGTTGTATTATTTTGTGACAGTTTGCAGCATCTCTTCCACGTCCTTTTTCTACCAGAAGCCTGGTGCTCATACAAGCTATTTAGTCAAACACAGTATTATTCCACTCTGCTTTGGTGACTTGCAAGTGTTGCTGTAGATAAATATACAAATCTGTAAAGGAAACAGGAAATCGGGGGGTTTTGGGGTTTTTTTGTTTTCTAGTTTTTGCACAATGACAACAGGCAATACATCTGACATGAAAGCAGTCTTAGTATGTTACTTTTGAGAGAGAACACAATCACTTATGATTTTCTAACTCTTTCACACATCTGCATGCATACACATTTAAAAATGGACCCGACAACCAAACTTGTAGATTACTACATGTGGGTTTTAAACCATGATTATAGTCATAAAATAGGACCTTTGGTAATGCTTATCACACTTTGCCTCCATCCCATAGCTGCTGTGTATGCCAAATGTGGCTAGAGCATCAGTAGCTCCCAATTGCACAGTAATTCAAAGACTCCTCAAGTGCAAAACATCATTGCCGGGGCAGTTGTAAGATAGGTAGTCATGTGGTGTCATAGTCTCTTCCTCTACCCCTGCACTCCCTCCCCCTCACTATTCCCAGGCAGCCTGATTCACTTTTTTTATTAATTTTTTTTTTAAAAAAACATAATTGCATTACCAGATCTGCAGAAGTGCATTTTAAAAGTAAAAAATAAACTGAAATGAAATGAAAAGCATGATGGGCAGCGCATAGGACAGGGAGGTAGGTTAAAGGGGGAGTTCAGAAGAGAGCACAATGGTGCTAGCAGCCACAGTCACATGGTTGTGAAGATGTGTGATAATCACTGCTCACAAAATGGTATGTTTATGTTTTCACTGATTCATATGATTGCAGCAAGAACAGGGCTCATGTGATAAATTCCTTACAATTAACAGAATGGTAATAGAATCACAAAATTGTAGAAACTTTGGGCCTTTGCAGACTGCCAGAAATAGTGCACTTTAAATTGAGGCACTGCCCTGGCTCAGTGCTAGGGAATCATGGGAATTGCATTTTTTCCTGAGACATTGAGCCTACTCTGTCAGAGAGCTCTGGTGCCACAATAAAATACAGTTCCCATGATTCCCTAGCACTGAGCCAGGGCAGTGCCTCAATTTAAAGTGCACTATTTCTGGCAGTCTGCAAAGGCCCATAGAGTTGAAAGGGACTGCAAAGGCCAGCTAATCCAATCCTCTGCCATAACAGAACACACAACTAAAGCATTCCCTCTATCTGGACATTACTAGAATTGCATTGACTTTCCCGCCCCCCCTCCCCCAGGCTAGAATGCTATTCACTTTTTTGGCTACTGAATCACACTGTTGACTCATGTTTAGCTTCTAATCTACCAAGATGCCTAGACCATTTTCATGTGTACTGTTGTTAAGCCAAGTGTCACCCCTCCAATATTTGTACATAGCTTTTTCCCCCTACCTAAATGTAGCACTTTACTTTTTATACCTGTTGGATTTATTCCTGCTTTCCAAATCATATATTGTTTGCAGTTGAACAAATCATGTACTACAACAACAAAAAATCTCACTGATCTTTAAAATCCATGATTTGCTTTTCTCCTCCTCAAGTAATTCAATAGCTTAACAATTTTCCCACCAGTATTTCAACATCTTAATAGTTTCTCCCACCCACCTGCCCAGAACTACTCATACAAAGGGTAGGAGGGTGGGGTTGAATTAATTCCTTTTTATTGTGGGTATAATCCAGGGTTGTGTCAATGGCAGTTGATCACATGACAAGACTTACATTCATATTATTCTTACTCCTGCAGCACCAGGCCTCCTAAAAGAATGGTAGAGTGAGGTGGGTCTATGGAAAGGAAAGAGAAAATATCCCTTTTACTGCTAGAACCAGTTTCACCAGTACAAGGACTTTCTTTTGATCCCTCCTTCTGTTATTCAAATGCAGAAGAAATGACTGATAAGTATTTGCAAGATGGATGCATACATGATGATTTCACAGACCACAAATCAAAAGCACCCAGGGCTTCCTGGGAGCTGCCCCAAAGCTATGGAACTTTTATCTCTTTCAGATACTTCTGAACACTCTTCTGGAATAATGACAAGATTGTCATATATTTAGAACTTGGAAGTAACTCAATATAAATATGAATTAACTGTCTGTAATTAATTACTTTTCCACAACAACAAAGGTATAACTGTTTCATTATGATTGTACCATTAAAAAGGATAAATTCACATTGATGTGGTGCAGTGGTTTGAACATTAGACTACAACTCTGGAGTCCAGGGTTCAGATCTCGGCTTGGCTGTGGAAAGCCATGATTGACCTTCAACAATTCACACCCTCTCAGCCTCAGAGAAAGACAAAAGCCAATCCCGTCTGAAAAATCTTGCCAAGAAAATCTAATGATAGGGTTACCATAAATCAGAAACTACTTGAAAGTGCACAACAAACTTAGCAATAGTATTTCCATAAACTTACTGTTTAAAAACAAGAAAACACAGAGACTAAAATGGGAGATATCCCCACCCTCACCCCATTGTCATCATTATCACAACCAAAATATCACATCAATAACATTTTATTTTGGCCATTACTTCCAAATATTGGTCATTACAGCACTAATGGTGCCATATTAATGCATGAACAATTAATGTTAATACAATTAATGTTAATGTATTAAGTGTACTGAGCATTAGTACTCTATTATGGAAGAAAGAGATTCAGTCTCTGCCTATTCCATGTGGGCAGTACATATCCACCTTTACAGAGAAAACAAAAGTAATAATGTGTGGTAAAATGTAGAGATTCAAAGACAATTCAGATTAAATCACTGGCCTTCGCTAAATTACTTCAATGAAAATAATGTTTATTGTAGTAAAATATGTGGAACATAGAAATGCAATAAAACAAACTTTCAAGGCATCCTAATGAGCAATTATATGATATTTCATATACTGCACATAGGGATGAGCAAATGGATGAAATCTGCAGCTCCATACTTCCTCTCTTTGCTTTTTCCATCTCTGTTCGTGCCCAGTTTCTGTTAGAATATAGATGGGTTATACAGTCAAAGGTGAAATGTAGAGATGTGTGTGTGGAATTTTCCTCATGAGAACAACATCTAGAGAAACAAAGTGAATCTAACACCAGATGGCCAAGAAGTCATAAACATGAACTTTCCCAAAGGTATAACTCAGACACAGATTTTGTTATGGGAAGCAAGAGATATCAAAAAGGTAAACATCGTTAGGTCTTGAGAAAATAGTCACATGGTGGATGATGGACAGCAAGGGGCTGGGTTAACAAACAACATACACATAACATCTAATCAACATAAGATTAACACCTAGAAGGTGGAGTATGGGAAGGGCCTAGAGAATCCTTTGTTTAAGAATGTTTATATTTTAAGATGTGAGTGTGTGACTGCCTGGCAGTGGTTTTAACCATGGAGTTAGGAGATGGCTTCTAGTATGTTTATACTGTTTTTATAATGTAACTCTTGAATCTGAAAACATGAATCTGTAACTTTTTTTTAACTTTAAACTGCAACAAGTTGGGATCCCATGCTTTTGGGATTGTTAAAGATGTAACCTCTCATGGCTGAACTGGACAAGTTCATCACAATGGATTTTACTTAGCTATCTTATTTTTCTTTTATATGCATTAATAAAACTATGCTTTTGGACTTTACAATGTGTCTTCTTGACTGAGGAAGACAGGATCCTTAAGAAGAGAAGCTGAGCCAGTTGATGGTAAGAGATACAAAGTGGCTGTGGATCACAGCAGCCAGCTTGTCCTGCAGATTCTGCTGGGTGTCAAAGAACATCACTACAACACCCATCATCCACACACTGATATCAGGTTGTTACTGCTTTTTATGGAAGGAGGTCTTTCCCTTTCTTTGCTTTTTCCTTTCAAATGTGCACAAATTTGTGTGTTTTTTAAAAATCATATGCATGTTGCTTAACTGCATACCACCTTCTCATGATTAAAATGTATTTAAATAATGTTTTTCATGTGAAACATACACATCTTTTTCCTACATCAACTTTACAAGTATGAAGAAGAGATTCTATCTAAACATTAGAGAAAATGTCTTGATGATAAGAGCTATTTGCCAGTGGAATACGCTGCCTCTTAGTGTGATGGACTCTTCTTTGGGGGATTTGATGTATAGAACATGAAAAGCTATGGATGGACCTTACAGACATGGGAGTGCCACTGCATTTGATAGTCCTGATGTGAAATCTGTACTTAAGACACAAAGCTAACATTAGAACAGAATTCAGAGAAACAGATTGGTTCCCAGTTGCCAAAGGGGCCAGGCAAGGACTCATTCTATCACCCTACTTGATCAGCTTGTATACAGAAAATATAATAGGAATATAGCAGGTTTAGACTCAGAAGGAGGAGGAGCAAAGTTAGGAAGAAGAAACATCAACAAACTCAGATACTTGGATGACACCATATTGCTAGTGGAAAACATCACAGACTTGCAACAATTACTAAAGAATGTCAAAGATGAAAGTCCAAAGGAAGGCCTAATGCTGAACATAAAGAAAACAAAAATGTATTTAAATAACCAGAGAAGATATACATGATAGTCCACCCCCGAGGCTAGGAGACCCCCGAGACCACAGAAGAAATACATAAATTCAACCTAGACAACGAAGAAATCAAAATAGTTAAAGAGTTCCCATACCTAAGATCATTGATCAGAACGGTGACTGCAGCCAAGAAATAAAAAGAAGTCTAGGAATGGAAAAGGCAACTATGAGAGAACTAGATAAGATCCTAAAGAGTAAAGACAAACAAATGAGCACTAAAGTTAGAATTGTCTAAGCCACAGAATTTCCCATCACCATGTATGGACGTAAGAGCTGGACAGTGAAGAAAACAGATAGGAAAAGAATCAACATATCTGAGATGTGGTGGTGGAAAAGAGTGTTGAGTAGCCAAAAAGACCAAAAAAAAAAATCTTTGAACACATCAAACCAGAATTCCCCCTGGAAGCCAAGATGATGAAAATGAGGCTGTCATACTCTGGTCCCAATGTGAGAAGGTGTGACTCACTCAAAAAGACATTAATGTTTGGAAAGATAGAGAGCAGTAGAAAGAAGGGGAGACCACACACCAGATGACTAAACTCAATGAGGGAGGTCACAGGCATGCATCTACAGGAGAGCATTGGAGGATAAGGAGGCTTGGAGAGATCTCATTCACAGAGTTGCCTTGAGTCAGGGCTGATTCAGGGACAGTTAACAACAACAACAAAAACAGAGGCTGGATGTCCATCTGTCAGGAGAGCTTTGATTGTGCAATCCTGCATGGTGGGATTGGATGGATGGCCCTTGTGGTCTTTTCCAACTCTGATCCTATTATTCTGGAATACAAATGGAGTCTAGCCAATTCAGACAATATAGTGTGAGAAAAACCACTTAAGCCATTAGATTAGATGCATACATCCTTAGCAGCAGAGGTTTCAAGTAAAAGATAGCCATAATCAAGAATCAAAAATCCTCTTGGACTCTGCTTGTCACGATATTCTGGAACTTACCAATAGTAACCTTTCTAAGTGTTTCTGTTGTTAAAGACACTCAGAATAGGAGGTTAGCTGCATGTATATTTATCAATCCTCTATTAAATGATACAGTGATCTGATCTGTTTCAAGATATTGAAGGTCAAGGCTGGTTTCAACATGGAATGTTTCACTCTCATGACGAAAGGAAGAAAGGGAATAAAGAAGGTTAAAGCTAGGATGCAAGGAAGTACAGAATAGGCTTACAAATGATTATTCATTTTCTGTAACTAAATTCCTGGCATCCCACCCTCCATATAAAGAATATTTTTTATTTGGAAGCTAGGTTTTGGGACCAATATTTATATCTGAAGTCCTAGCCTCAGGGGTGGACTATCATGCAAGAAACCAAAGACCTAATGGCTTTCCCAGGAATCAACAGTGGGATTCTGGAAAGGTTGATGGCTTTAAGGTTACAAAAACAAAGTTTGGATTAGGACAATCCCAGGGTGAAGGACAGGGAAGTTGGCTGGAAACATGACGGAGGTAGGTAGGAAGTACAGGCTTACTATTTAGATGCAATGAGACCTTCTTTGTCCCTCAGTGGAAGAGAAAATTCAAAGTATGGGGGGGAGCAATTGGTACACCCATTTAGCTTTGATTGCAGCATTACCTGGGTCTTACACATGTCCATGGGTCTGTGCTCCTTTCTCATAGGAACTCCAACTGGTGTTGCAAAGGTCATTGTGATGTCTAATAAACTTGCTGGCTCCAGATATGAGAATATAGAGACCTCCATATACAATGTGGGGTGTGCAAAGTGTATTGCAACTTGAGAGTACACCTTTGTGCTCTTACAATTACAAGAGTTGCAAACATTTCTGCATACATGCACATCATTGGTTGTTGTTACATTGCTGTTAATATTTTGATATTTTATTTTATTTTAGGATTTAACTGCTGTTAGCCACCCTGAATGAGAGTTCTAAATACCCCAAAGGCACCAGATCCCATCTGGAAGCTAACCAGTATTAGCCTTGGTTAGTACTTGGATAGGAGACTGCCAATGAATACCAGGTGATGTAGGCTATATTTCATAATAAAGAACTGGCAAAAACCATATGAAATTCAATAGGCAACTTGAAGGTGCAGACACACACACCCTGAATGGTCTGCAGCTACATGAAGGAAAGGATATTAAGTATTTCAATAACTAAATAAAGCAAGTCAGTAAAGGCAGTGTAGCTGGCAAGAAAACCAATATTTCCTCTCAAAATAATTCATTGCTCCCATTTGATTTCCCACTTATAATTATCAAAATCCATTTATTCAAATCTTCAGTGTTTAAACTGTGCTTAGAGTTCATATTACCTGGCTGTACAGTGCTTGCCATAGTGAATGCTTAATTAGCAAAAACAGAGTGGGATGTGAAAGTATACTTAAAGGATGAATATCTCATATTTTATTAGCAAAATGGCTCTGCATTTCCAGAAAATTAGAAAATGTTAGAGATAAATCCTGGCTGAACACATACAAATTTCAAAATTATTTATACCTTGCTTTCATTGATGGAGTGTAAAAAAAGATGGGTTAAAAGCATACTTGTTACAAAATGAAACATATGTGTGTGTACACACCATCATTCTATTTCTTTCTCTTCTGGGTCAAGAATATTTTTGTGTTTAATAATATCCTGTATTGCTGGATATCATTAATGGCAGAAAGCACAAATATGCACTGCTACAACTCATAAATGATATCACCTTTTTTGGTAAATTATTCTGAG